CAAATCACACAACATCCAGACATTGAGTTACCCAAACCAATAATATCCTAATCAGGCTATCATATCACTGACTACTCAGTACTATCATGCAGCTCAATAAGCACATACAGCAGGCATATCAGGCATCTTCTTTGATCCTTATCCATGATCTAGAATACAGTTATTATACACATATAGTAGGCATACAAGGAATCCTTCCTAGATCCTTAGCCCTAATCTAGCATGCAGTTCTTATAATCATATCATATATCATAACAAACATGTATGGGTATCTTAGGGAAAACTTACTTGAGCTCGGCCGGTTGCAAGCATCACACACCTAGTTCTATCTCAAAACTCTTTATTTTAATTTTTAGAAAAACTATTTTCTTGTAAAAGTCTTGCAAACCCTCTATTTGAGTTAATACACCCCCGAAGGTGTGTCCGAATCCCTCAAACCAAGTCTCCGATACCAACTTGTAACATCCTAAAATCCAAGACCAAAACTTTCATTTTTAATTTAAAATTTTATAAAACAGATTATTAAAAATGATTGAGTTATCCCATATCATAAAAACCCATAAGTCATAAGTCTCAAAACAAGTCATAATAATATTAGAGTATAAATCCCAGGAACATCACAGTGCAGAAAATAGTGGTGCGATGCGTTGCAGTCATGCCTACTCCATTCCTTTCGAAGAAGAAGTACCTGAAACCAAACTGAAAATCATAAGCACAAAGCTTAGTGAGGCCCCCCATCGTACCACATACCATATAATAACATACTGCTTAGCATATCTGAGTGTTGTCCTACCCCTTCGGTCTCTTTCAACCGGTAACTGCCTAGCAAAACTAGGTGCTAGCCAACCCCACCGATCTTTTTCAACCGGTAACTGCCTAGCATATCTGGGTGCCTGCCTACTCCTTCGATCTTTTTCAATAGGTAACCAGACACTATTTTACCCCTACCACTACCACATAATATCCTAATGAATATACATAAATCACATACTTCCTAGCATATATGGGTGTTGGCCTACCTCTTCGGTCCTGTCAACCGGTAACAGGGTCTATACTACGCATCCTACCACTATCGCATAGCAACATAACATACTAGCACATAAAACATTATAGATAATGGCATACCAAACAATTATCACAAAGACAATCATCTCAACTATAATCAAATACTAATGGGCCAACATTGATGCCTTAGAGCCACTCCTACTGGAAGGTAATTCACATCGATAATTGGGAAATAGCTACAAAGGCTCCTGGTCTGAAATCAATCCATCGCATACTCCTACACATAATCATTTCCTTTAATTACCCTTTTCATACTCATAACCCTTCTAAGGATCAACTTTGTTCAATGGTCAAAGTTAAAGTCAACATCATGGTCAAAGTCAACATCCTGGTTGACTCAACTCACCGAGTTGGTCCATCAACTCGTTGAGTTCCATGGTCCATAAAACCCTGGAAATATCGATCCACCTCATCGAGTTCCTCCTCATAAAAGATTCTGAACATTTCACTCACAACTCGCCGAGTTCATCCTTAAACTCATCGAGTTCTTCAATCCTTGAAACCCAAAAACCATGGCCGACTCGGTAAGTCATCTCCTAGACTCGAAGAGTTTGCTCAGTAACAGAAAAGGTTGGGGGATCCCGACCCACCTCACCAAGTTGAATGAACAACTCGTCAAGTCCCCATTAGTCTAAATCCATTTAGTCACTTCCAATCGAGTTCAATGCTTCTAAACCATAGATCTGGTCCCCTCGAACTAAGTTATCACGTAAAGTTGCTAACTTTACATTTATGCATGGTGTCATGAAGCTAGAAACACCAAAGCCAAGATATATAAGAGATCCAAGGCATTGGGAAGGACCAAGGCTTGATAAAGCTGGCATCTTTAAGCCTCATAAGCCAATGAGTGCCTAGATCTAAATTCAAAACTTCATGATACACTCAAATCCCGAAAATGACTTCAATATGGACCAATAATGACAACAGACAACCCTAAATGAAGATCTAAGTAATAGAAAGCCAATGTATCAACTTTATACCTCAAATGAGTCAGAAATGCAGTTCAAACTCCATATCTACTAGCTTCGTCTTGAATCCCCAAGCTTCTCCTTCCTTCTCAAGCTTCAAACTCACAAAGAATGCACAAAAATGGCTCAAAACGCTCCAAAAGTGGATTAGTTCTTCTTGGCTAGGGTTTGGGATGATGGAGGCTGCAAATGAGGCCAACCTTTGGAGGTTAAGGTTTTTAAATAGGGTGCTAAACCCTGAATATTAAGGATTCATTTTGGCAGCACTACTCGTCGAGTTGAGGCTCTCAAATCATCGAGTAGGCTTCAAGTCCAGCGTCCAAGTTACATTCCTACTCGATGAGTTTGGGCCTCCAGCACATTGATTCCCTTTGCAAAAATGAAAATTCTTATTTAAAATACATACCAGGCACCGAGCGTCATAAATCTCCCCCACTTATTTTAGACTTCGTCCTTGAAGTCTGTTGTGTCTGGAAATAGCTCTGGGTAGTACCCCATCGTCTCGTCCTCTGGCTCCCAAGTCCATGCCGAGCCCTTGTGATGCTTCCATTACACCTTCACTAACTCAACCCTCTTGTTCCTAAGATCCTTCATCTTCTTATCGAGGATGGTTACTCGTCATTCATTTGTGTTTCTGTGAGAAGGTATTAAATTTCTTTTACTAACTAGTTAGGATGTCCCTAGAAGCATGCTACTGTATGTAGACTAAAAGCCTTTACATGACTCTATGTGTGTCAAGAAAGCCTTAATGAAATTATCTCAAGAAACTTTCTTCCCATAAAGGCTTATATTCGCATAAGTCAAAATGAGCTACCTTACTCTTCTCAAATGAGTTAAGAGTTTTCTGTTTTGTCCATTATAACAGAGGTACACTTCGATTCTTATCCAATCTTTTTAAACCAAACAATTCTTTCAATCCAAAATTCTTTTTGAAAAAGATTTGTCCTTGAGGTCTTTGGTCAAATCAATCAAAACCTAGACAAATCACAATTATGTGTTTAAGATCTAACATCATGAGTCCGTGATGAAAGTGAAACCCAAAATTCATACACCTTTAAGGAATTAACGGGGGACTATGTTCCAGATCTTACGAAGTTTTTGCTTCAGTACCTTTTATACTCCAAATCATATTCATTTCTTTTGAGTGATCTTAATCAAACATTCGAAAACTACGATGTTTGTTCCCAAATAGATCTAGCATAATTTTTTTTATGAATATGATTTCCGTGTGAGTATATTTTCAAAATCTCTATTACTTTGAATATCATTCGCAACCAAGTTTTCACTGACTACACTGGTCATACAACTAATTTTGTTTACAATTACTCACCTTATGTTAAGGTAGATATGTAACAAAATTTTCGAAGCCACCAAATGTGTCCAATAAAAGAAACCCTTCGAAACTTCTTTACAAGTTATCGATTGTATTTCACGGGAAACCACACAAGCTGTCAATTATCTCTCTTGATAATTTTTGAAGATATCTTTGCCTGGGATAACATTGCTTTTATGTCAAAGAAATTATTGACATCACGAGTTTTCAAAAGTTTTTTTTCTTTGCTTCTCATCTAATTTCTGTTGGCACACAGCACACACGAAATCCTTGAGGTTTGAGTAACACCAACTTAAACTGATGATTTCGAAACTCTGGCAAATGACTTCTCTTTTTAAACCTCAAAGTGAAAGAGCCTGACCTCCATTCCGAAGGAATCCGACAGTTACAATTTTTTTTGGGGAACACCAAACAGTCCTATCTCTTGATGACGTATGATGTAGGATAAGCGTGAACGGCGTATTGACAGTTACGATTGTTACTTTTTGATGAGTGCATTCCGGGTTTCAAGGTGCCATGTCAGCAAGCATTTAATGCATCCCGGTTACAATTTTTTTTGGGGAACACCAAACGGTCCTATCACTTGATGACGTATGATGTAGGATAAGCGTGAACGGCGTATTGACAGTTACGATTGTTACTTTTTGATGAGTGCATTCCGGGTTTCAAGGTGCCATGTCAGCAAGCATTTAATGCATCCCGCTTCAAATTCAAAAATTCTAGGGTTACATATAAAAGGGAACGTTACAACTTCATAATCCTTTACGTAAATCATATTCTTCAGAAAAACAAAAACTTTCTCTGCAAATCATCTTCTTCACATAGTTCTTTTCTTCAACTCATCTACAATGGCAGCTACTTCATCACCAACCACTGACGAGATCATCAGTGTTCCAATCTTGAAGATCTAGGGTTCAAACTATCAAGTAGAATCGGATTTGTCGAAATATCCGGAAGAACTAAAGATGCTGGTGGTTGCTTTATAGAACTCAATTCTGTCTAAAGCCATGTTCCAATCATTTGCTGCACCAATGTCATGGTTATCGAAGGCTGGTTTTACAGCTTCCTACAACAAAGAAACCGGGTGTGTGGAATTCACCATGGTTACTGATACGTGAATTAGTGTTTCCAAAAGATTGTTTTGCAAGATTTTGGGAATTCCAAATTCTGGTCCATACGATGAACTCACGTCTTCGCAAGTAATATACATGTTCAATGAGATGGGTCACCAACCTCCATTGACATGTATAAGTGATTTCAAGAAGTCAGGTCTACCAACCATTTGGAATTTTTTATTTGGCATCTTCCTCAGATGTCTTACTGGAAGAACAGTAGGCTTAGACAAAGGTAGAATGGAGGTATACGCAATGGTTGCAGGGCTTTACTATGACTTACAGGTGGATTACTCTGAGCAGTTGTGGACCGAGTTTATTACAAGCATTTCGAAGATGAGTGCCAAATAGGGAATTTCTTGTGCCAGATATTGGAGTTTGACTATCCAATATGTATATCAAAAGGAAAAAATCGAGGTACCGGATTCCGAAGAAAAAGCTGTATTCCACATGTACGGGAGTCCGAAGGAAGTACGTGACGATCCGACAATTTTTACCTCAATAGCCAGAATTCCAGATGCAATGTTTAAGAAGGTGGATCCTACGAACAAAGTGTTGGTGTCATACTTACAATCAATTGAGACAACAGTTGTGACTGGGAAGTTACAACAAGAAGCCACCAAAAAGACGAAGAAGTCCAAGAAGACAAAAGGGGACTCTTCGGAAAAAGGGTTAAAAGACGACCAACATCAAGCACTCATTGGTCCTTCCTCAACTGTCGAAAAGGTGTCTCCGATCTTGACATCAGTTGCTGATACACCAGTAATTGAAGCCTCTACATCAAAGGAAACGATTCCTTCGAAGACGGGAGTTTTTCGAAGAATCAAGATCAAGCGAAAGTCTCAGTTGGTGAAGAAAACACAGGTTACTCACCAAGGGGTTACAGTTCGTGAAGTTACAGCTCCTGTGTCTCCATCTTCGAAAAAGAGAAGGGCTGAAGAAATGGCTAAGTTCTTGAAGAAACCCAAACTTGTCGAAGATGAAGAACTTGTGCCTGAAACTCCTGAAGCTGATATTCCAAAAGAAGTCGAAATCTTTCAATCTACGGAGATTTCGAAACCTGCTGACGTCAAGATTCTAGAATCAACGACTCTACCACAAGCTACTTCTACCATCGATTCTCCTACATTCCAATCTATCATGAATCAACCCTTCACCACCATTTTTTCAACACAATCCACTGAACCACCACAATCTTTATCACCTATTCCTGAAACAATGGCAATTGATGAAGAAACTGACAACGAAGGGTTTGGGGGAACTTTCGAAGACCTTTCTTTTGATAAATCAGAAGAAGATTTTCCGGATCGTATGATAATGACGATGAAGCAGTTCAAGATTTTGAATTCCAAATTGAATTTAATCTTACAATCTCAAGCAGATGTCGGAAATGATGGAATCAATCTTTTGCAAGTTGATTCATTGATGAAAGAGATGGAAAACAGGCTGCTATCGAAGAATTCAGGGCTCATTCGTGATTCAAAAAGCCGGATTTTAGAAAAAATTGATCAGTCTGATAGTTCTACTGAGAATAGAATCAAGTTTCTTAGAACTGATTTCCTAAAGGAAGTTAAAGATTTGAAGATGGTTACGAAGGAGCGTCATGTGCTCTTTGTACAGGAGGTGAAGAAGGTTAGAGAGGATGTGAATATGCAGATTAGAGAACTTCGTGAAGAAATGACGAAAGAAGTTCAAACTCTTAACCAGGGGTATGATTCTGCACATCAAAAGATTGACATCATTTGTGATGCCATTGTTCAGTGTGTCAAGAGGTTTGAACCGCTCAAATCACAGATGACTTCTCTGTCAGCAACTGACTTCTCAGAAATTTCTTCATTTTGAAGCCATTCTTCAAAAGCATCTTACTCCGCTACTTCGAATCTCAAGCCTATTGACAAGTATATCAGATGCCCCACCTGCTATCACAGGGGTGCAAGGGGGAGAAAAGAGTGTTCAAGAAAAGGCTGGGGAGCATGAGATGAAACCAGAAGATTCGAAGGCTCCAGTCAAACCAACAATTGTTTCAGCTGCTCCAGTCATTTCAACTGTGACTACAACGGTTCCAATTTCAAGACCTAGTACAAAAGTTATTGTAATTGGGAATGTTGTTTCTTCGAATGTTTCTTCTTCAAAGGGTGCTGCTCCTTCGAATGAGAAACACAAAGGAAAAGGAGTCTTGATTGAGAAGACAAACAAAGAAAAGAAAGCTGAGGTGGCAGCTGAATTAGAAGGAATGCGGCATGTGGAAAGCATTATGCGACAAAGAGCTCTTGAAGGTTCGAATGTCAACAAGGGAGAATGTTAGGGTGCAAAGTCACTCTTGTATGTAATGTTTTAGGCTTACTCTCTTGTATGTGTAAATGGGTTGAGTCTTTCCTATAAATAGGAAGTGAGTGACTCCCATTATGTAAGGAATCATTTGGAGTGTTAGACTAGAGAGAGAATTTGTATACAAACCCATTTGTATAATCTTTCTAGATCTAATAAGAGCTTACAAAGATTTATTTACTCCTTGTGTTCTTGAATTTGTATGATGAATCACTAGATCTTTCTAATTCCGCACATGCCATCATAATCAACACCACTACAATTGGTATCAGAGCGGGTGTTCTTGAATCTCATCAAGAATTGATCCTTGATGGCTATTTTGATTTGGTGATTCTTTTTGTTCATTGATCTTCTTGTTTAGAGAGTGTTTTTGTGTTCTAGAAGTCGAATTTTTCTTTGATTTGATCAATAACTTGACTTTCTCTCTCTAGAATACTTGTTTGTATCACTTTATCTCTCTAGAAAACCCATTCATAATCACTTTCTCTCTCTAGAAAATTTCAAGTTCTTGTAATCATGATGGAAATGGTGTACTTGGAGTATGATTCTTGGATTGTGATCATTAAAGATGTCAAATACAAGGTCAACTTACAACAATTTATTGGATTAATATTCAAAAGCGGGATGATTTCATGGGATACTTTGATTTCTTATGGAGGTTTGAAGAATGATCATGATTAATTTTTCAACCGCTTTCAAAGATTGAATGCTTGACTAAAGCTTAAAATAACTTGATGATTGAGAGAGATATGAAGAAAGGAAATGAAAAAGAAGTGTTTGATAAGTATTTCATTTCTCTTATTGAAAACCCGAATGATCTTCTTGCTCTTAAGTTTGTTGAAGATGTTCTTGATGTTCTTGGTGTTCAAGAACAAGGAGTTCAAGTTGATTCTCAAGATGAAAAAGTTTTTTGCTCAATTGGAGTTCAAACCGATGATATTTTGTGCTCTTGTGATTCATTTGAAGGAATGATTCCTTATCGGAAGCCGGTAATCCAAGAAAATCATAAATATCAAACTCCAAAAGATTTGATTCAAACTCAAAATGTTCATGTTGTTGAAATTGGGTTTGTTTATGAAGTCAAGTCTTCAAGATGCAAAAAGATGAGAAAGAAAAAGAAGAAGAAGATGAATCAGAAGAATAAGCGGGTTTACTCACAAAAATCGTCATATGTTGTGAAGCCAAAATCTGTGAAACAAATTTGGGTTCCAAAGCAACAATCTCCAAGTGTTGAGTTGAATTTGAAGTCAAAACCCAAATGTGTTGGTGGTTCTTTTGAAGATGTTCTTGGGTCGTTGAAGAACACGAAGAACATGAAGAACGAAGTGTACATCTCGCATGGTGGGTGGTACAATGTTCGATTTGGAGATTTTCTTATTCCGACAAAAGAACCAAGATCTTCCAAATTTGATTCGTTTGTTGAAAATGGATCTCTATTCGTCAAAAAGGTAACTCAAATTCTCAAATGGATTCCAAAATGTCCATGATTTTGATTCGTATTTTACGTTTTTCATTTTTGATCGATTTGCCTCATTGGATCAAATCCGTTTCAACCCCATTGTTTGATCCAATTATTTTTGTTTAGATCAAAACATAATTCAAACTCATTTGTTTCTATTTCGAAATTACTGTTCATTTGTTTTCAAAGCCCAATTTATATGATCTTTTACTGATTCATGATCAGTTTAATTGAGCCCAAATGATATTGAATGTATTTGATCCAAATTCATTTACTGTTCATCCGATCGATTTTTAAGCCCAAAATGTTTTTAATACAATACAATTGTGTGAGCCCAAAGTCAATTGAAGTGTTTGATTCATTCACTTTGTCGCTGGTTTCATTAGTTCGTCACTTCATCACTCGACTTGTACTCATGCTTTTCTTTCTTGTACCATCGTATCATCTTGTTTACTCTTGATTGATGTTCTTGAGTTTCAATTTTGTTTCATTGTTTTTTTTCTTTTTTTTTCTCTATTGATGCTATTCATGATTCTGAACTTGTGAATCGACTGGAAAGTGATTTGATCTTGGAGTCGGAAGCCTTTATTAAATTTTTTGGAGTTTTGGAGTCAAATTGAAACTGATTGTGTTATGATAGAAGAAAATCGTAGCGTTGAGAAGATAATTTCGATTTTGATTGAGAATCAAAGCAATCGTCTGTAAATTTCTTGGACTTGAGCTTAGTGTTGTTGATTATTTCTGGAATCAAAATGTACAATCAACGGCTTAAGGTCGATGCTTGTAATCTGATTTCGAAGATTGATGACTTTTGAGATCCGAACTCAGATTTGGAATCGAAGACAATCGATGTGTTGGAATCGATAATAGAAGATTCGAAGGGGTGTTTGATTTTGGGATTTCGAAGATTAAATATTTGGAGTCTGTGTTCGTTGTTTTGATATTATTTTGGGATCGTGGTTTGATGGTAGAAGAGATGGGATCACTGTCATGATTCGAAGGATTGATTTAAAATCAAATTTGCTTTTGTGATATGAGGAACAGTTACAAGTTCTTGATTTCAAAGAATTAAAATTTGGGAGGAACTGTAAGAACGATTTTGAAGAATCCAATGGGTTTGTTGAAATCGGTGGTTTAAACGAAGATTTTGATGATTCGTTAAATAGATGATGATCTTGCTTTTAATCAAACAGATGAAGTCTTCAGTTTTGGGAATAAGTCGATAAGTCGATGTTTGAAGGAGAAGATTTGGGAAAATGATTTTGATCGTAAACATACGAAGGGTATATAGTTGAATTTTCGAAGGGTATAAATGAATTGGGAAAAACGAAGAGTCTCTAATTTTAAAAGGGTTGGTGAATTTACGAAGGGTGTTTGCTTTGGGCTGAATATTAAAAAAAAAAAAAAAAAAAAAAAAAAAAAAAAAAAAAAAAAAATTCTTCGTATGTTTAAGTCTTCGTGCTTCGAAAGAATGGAGCAAAACACAAAGTTTCAAAAATAGCCCCTGAACCTTCGATTTGTTGTCACTTCGAAAATAACACAAGTCTTCGAAAATGGGCATGCTTCGTACGTTTTGGAGCAAAAGAGCAGAATTTCGAAGATGGTACCTGAAACTTCGAATTTTGTGAAGTTTTCACCCAAATTCGAAAAAGGACTATATTTTGCTGAAAATTGAAGATTGTGCATTTCTGGTCCCTGCAGTTTGTGCAAATTGACGCTTTCTACCCAGATTTGAAAAAGGGGGAGAGTTTTGCATATTTGGCTATTTTGGACGCAACGGGTCCCTGCAAGTTTCAGAAAGTGACAATTTCTACCCGGATTTTGAAAAATCTTGCAACTTTCACCCAAAAAGTCAAAAATTTTCATAAATTGAAAATTTTTTGTGGCTTTTTCGTGATTGTTTTTCCATGCAAGATTTTTGGTGATTCATTTTTGGTACACATCAAGGGGGAGTATTGAGAAGATTATTCCTCGGGCGCTTCTCATCCTTAGTGGGTTTTATAATAATTTTTTATTATAAAAAGGGGGAGAATGATGGGTATTCGAAGCTTCTCGGGTTTGTCGAATATTCATTCGCGGATTTGAAGACCGGTGTTACTTCGAGGGGGAGTTTGGTCTTGATCGCGCTAGCTCGTTGGAGATTAAAGCCGGACATCCAATCCTAACTTTGAGGGGGAGAATGTTAGGGTGCAAAGTCACTCTTGGATGTAATGATTTAGGCTTACTCTATTGTATGTGTAAATGGGTGGAGTCTTTCCTATAAATAGGAAGTGAGTGACTCCCATTATGTAAGGAATCATTTGGAGTGTTAGACTAGAGAGAGAATTTGTATACAAACCCATTTGTATAATCTTTCTAGATCTAATAAGAGCTTACAAAGATTTATTTACTCCTTGTGTTCTTGAATTTGTATGATGAATCACTAGATCTTTCTAATTCCGCACATGCCATCATAATCAACACCACTACACTAGTAGTTATTCTAACGAATGGTGTCAATGATGCTACAAAGTCCTGAAGGGAGACGGTTATGGATAAAAGGATGAAGACTATAGAGTCTTATTTAGAGATATTATATGATGTAAGACTTGTTTAACACACAGAGAAATTATGATCATCCGTAATCCAGGGGTATCTCGAAGGATTATGCTCTGATATCCAAGTAAGGAGTATTCACTCAAGAAAGTATGTAAAAGTGATACATAGAATTTGGGCGTGGTGTTGCTTATTAATACATCTACATATGTGAGTTATTTATAGTGTTTTTAGGGAGACAATGCATGTTTTATCATATGAGTTGTATGATATCGTCATTATATGATTTTGAATGTGAACGTGCGGTAGCTCAGAATCCTATGTTGGAATTAGGTGGGACACTCTTGGCGATCCAACCTTTTTTGGTTCTATTGTGTTAAATCCTAACACGACCCTTATTTTAGTTCCTAGAGCATCACTTTTCAGTCTAGCTCAGTGGATATTTAAATGTGGTCGTTGGCTATCATATGGCCCGTGTCATATGGACTTGCTAGGGTGGTAAACTAATAGTAGTGTAATTGTAAGTTAGAACAATATGTTCAATGTTACACCCTATCCTAATACATTCAAAATATAGTGATTTTTAAAACATTGTTAGGAATTGAAATCGTAACTTATAAAATTCAGTCCCATAAATACATTTTATAATGTATTGTTTAACTTAGGGGTTATAACTTCATATCAAATAAAACAACTATATAACTACATACAAAAACTAAGTACCTAAAATTTGCACTTTATTTAATAGGCTTTATTCCATCAAGCGCATCAACAGACTATCTACTAGCCATCATGAAAGATCCTAATAAGGACCGTCACATTCTAAAGCTTTATAACTGAACTTGCGATACAAGTCATTTAAAATAAAAAAACATGAGGAAATAATGTCTCATGAGCTACATGGGTTTACACACAATAATTTATGAAAACATTTGATAAAGTCTTTCATTTCAATCATACTTCATGCAAGGTGCTATGTATGT